AAAAAAGTGTGTGTGTATGTGTGCGCGCCTTAATGTATGTGGTGGTTAGACTCTATCCATCTTATTTGAGGCAGGATCTCTTTTTCTGTTAGGCTTTGTACTCTAGGCTAACTGACCGGTGAGTTTCCTAGCAGTTCCGTCTCTAGGATTACAGATGCACCCTGCCACTTCTGGTTTTGTGTAGCTGTGTGTCTGCATGTGGATGCATGCAGGTGCCTGGGGAGGCCAGAGGTGTCAGATCCCCTGGAGCTGGAGTTAGAATTACAGAGCCCAACTCAAGTCATCTGGAAGATCTATCTCTAGGATCACAGATGGACCCTACCACTTCTGTCTTTGTGTAGCTGTATGTCTGCATATAGGTATTCTAGAGGTTCTTAGGTAGCTCTACGCATTTCTGCCTCCCTTGCCCTGAAATTAGAAACACACACCCCTGTGCCTGTATTAGAAGTGGCCTGGAGATCCAATTCAGATCTTCATGCTTGCATGGTAAGTGCTTTACCACCTGAGATCCCTCCCCAGCCTTTGCCCATGCTTTTGTCAACTGGAACCTGTGTCTACAATGGCTTCACAGGTTTCTTGTGCCTTTCCTATTTCTTTGAATAGTTAATACAAACTTGAGAAGCCAAACAAAATGCTTAATTTTGTGTCTAATACACATACACACAAAATAAATCAGTAAATATAATACCGACACATATATTAAGAACTAGATGTAGTAGTACACAGTCAATCCCAACTATTCTGATTCAGAGGCAGGAGGAGCTCAAGTTTAAAGCCAGCTGGGCAGTTTAGCAAGAGTGTCTGAAAATAAGGGGCTGTGATGTGGTTCAGTGATAGAATGCTTAAAAACCTAACACATTGCCGGGTGGTGGTGGCGCACGCCTTTAATCCCAGCAGTTGGGAGGCAGAGGCAGGCAGATCTCTGTGAGTTCTAGGCCAGCCTGGTCTACAAGAGCTAGTTCCAGGACAGGCTCCAAAACCACAGAGAAACCCTGTCTCGAAAAACTTAAAAAAAAAAAAAAAAAAAAAAAAAACCTAGCACATGAAAGGTTTTAGATTTAATCTCTACCTGAAAGAAAAACAGCAAGCAGTATTCCTCATAAAACTTTTAAACTTGTGTTTGTGTGTGTATATACATGCATGCACATGCTGGTGCATGGATGGCAGTCTGTCCGGAGTTGGTTCTCTTCCTGCCACCTTGTAGGATCTGAAGGTGGAACGCAGGTCTTCAAGTCTGTCAGCCCTCTTCTGTATATATATAAGTGGCCCCGGGGAAGGTTCATGAGAAAAATTACAATGTTCTTTCTTTGACCCGTGCTTTTAATTTTAATCACTCGGGAGGCACAGGCAGGCAGATCTCGGGGCCAGCCTGCTCTACAGAGCGAGTTCCAGGACAGCCAAGACAACACAGAAATCCTGGGGTGGAAGAGAGGGGCAGCAAGGTGGCTCAGTGAGTAAAAGTGCTTGCTGTGCAAAAGTATTGATCTGAATTTCATCCTTCGAACTTTCATTGGGTCAAGCAGAGGTGGCACTCGCCTTTAATCCCAGCACTCCAGAGGCAAAGGCAGGAAGATATACAGAGAGTTCTGGGACAGCCAGGGCTATAGAGAGAAACTCTTTATGAACAAACAACCTTGTTGGAAGGAGAAAGCCAGCTTCCTGAAAGTTGTCCTTTGACCATCATACCCAAACTGTGGTGTATATGCACTCACATATATCTGTCATACATCATGCACAATAATTTTTTAAAATTCTTTTAGTATGTGTGTGTGTGTGTGTGTGCTCTTATAGCTCAGGTTGCCTATAACTTGGAACCTTCCTGCCTTTCCTATTAAGCCTCCTGCAACTATAGGCACTTTTGTGCATGGTTTTATTTGTTTGTTTGTTTGTTTTCTCCATTGCTGGGAGTTACACCAAAGGACTCATGTACAAGCTAAACATTATACTACCGAGTCCAGTTTTCCAAAACATTCTTGGATAGCATAATGTCAAGTTCAGATTACCTCTGAGCTTTGGAAAAGTTGCCCTTTTTTCTTACATTAAGCTTCAGATAGGTAGGGACCATTTCTTATTTTCTTGAGTCTCTAGAATTCAGCACAATATCTAGAATTTGAGTTTCTACATATATAGTAAAACTTTGTCCAAGGACCCTGGTAATAACAGTTTATCCCCAGATTGGGGTATTAAACTAATGCAGAACAGTGCTCTTTCTTTGTCTTGGTTTGTTTGCCATGTTCCTTTGGGGAGGTGAGGAGATTGAGACAAAATCCTCAATCTAGTTCACGTTGACCTTAAACTCCTTATTCCCCTGCCTGTGCCTCCACACCTGGCCCATCTGCTTCATTCTTTATATCTCGTTCTGGATAATTGATCATCCATTTCTAAGATTTTAGCCAATTTTGTTTTACTGTGGTATGTTACAGCACCATCTACTGACACAAATTGGTAATTTTAAGGCTTTTGGGCACTTTTTTCATTAAAGGTATTCTGAACACTTTATAATATGGCACCTAAGAATGTTTTGAGAAATAGGATATCGCTCTGGTCTACAGAGCAAGTTCCAGGATAGCCAGGGGGAAAAAAAAGAAGAAACAATGTCTCAGAAAAGAAAGAAAGGAAGGAAGAAAATAATTTAAAAAAAACCCTAAAATATCAGAATTGAATATACTAAAGGTAAGAGATTTATAGAGAACTAATTTTTTTTTGTTTTTGTTTTTTGAGACAGAGTTTCTTTATGTAACAGTCCTTGCTATCTTGGAACTTGGTTTGTAGACTAGGTTGGCCTCTAACTCACTGAGATCTGCCTGCCTCTGCCTCACGAGTGCTGGGATTGAAGGAGTGCATCACAGCCTCCACCTGGCAGGAATTAAAAAATTTTATACTAGAAAAAATATAAGCTGGGTAGTGGTGACACACACCTTTAATCCCAGCATCAGGAGGCAGAGGCAGGAGGATCTCAGTGGGTTAGAGGCCAACCTGGTCTACAGAGTTCCAGGACAGGCTCCAAAGCTATACAAAGATCGCCTGTTTGGGGGGAGGGGGAGCTGAAAAAAAGTGTGTGTGTATATAAAATGTGTGTGTGTGTCCCCATGAGTTTCCTGAGTTAGGGTAGTATATAGACAAGGATAACCTTGAACTCCTTGGTTCTTCTGCTAGGGTCACACGTACTAGTGCACCACCATGCCCAGTTTTTTGGGGTAAAATGCAGAAATTCATTCATGTGAGACAAGCTCTCCACCAGCTGACCTGTATCCCCAGCCACATTTGGGGATTTTTATCAAACAAAACCAACTTCAACGTCTCAACATGAAAGAACAAGCCATACATATTATGTGTGGGTGTGTGTTGTGTTCATGTTTTGTCGTGTGTTTTTTTTTTTTTAATTTATTATGTATACAATATTCTGTCTGTATGTAGGCCAGAAGAGGGCACCAGACCTCATTACAGATGGTTGTGAGCCACCATGTGGTTGCTGGGAATTGAACTCAGCATTGTCTGCTCTTAACCACTGAGCCATCTCTCCAGCCCGATGTGTTGTTGTTTTTAATTATTTCATCTGTATTGGTGTTTTGCCTGAGTGTGTGTGTGAGGGTGTCTGATCCTCTGGAACTGGAGTTACAGACAGTTGTGAGCTGCCACGTGGGTGCTGAGAATTGAACCCAGGTCCTCTAGACGAGCAGCCAGTACTCCTAACTGCCGATCCATCTCTCCAGCCCAAAGCATGTTTTAGGAAAGAATAAAACTCAGGACCCACAAGGTAAAACACTTGCCATGCAAGCCAGATGAGCTTGTTTTTTATGTGGAACCCATGTGAAGGTGGAAGGAGAGAACCAATGGTACAAAATTGTCTTGCCTCGAGGAAGATCAACTATACGGTATCTGTGGTAGCTGCCTTCCTCTTGTCCCCCTGCTTGTTTTCTAAATTATTACAATACTCAGCTTAAATAAACAGCTATTCTGGTGCCTTTTCTAAGCAGGCCTGAGTCTTAGAAATAAATTATAACGTAAACTAGGTCAAAAAACAGTGATTTAGGGCTGCAGCTTAATGCCTAGCATTCTTGAAACCCACGATTTAATTCCTAGTACTGCCAAAGGGGAACAATGGAAGTTAGCTGGAGCTGGAGCACAGTTGACAGAGTGCTCTCTTGCCTTTCTTGTATAGTTCACAAAGCCTTGGGTTCAATCTTTTAGCACCATATAGGTGGATGTGTATACCTGTAATCCCAGCGCTCAGGGAGGAAGAGACAGAGGATCATAAGTTCAAGGTCATGTTCTGCTATATCTCAAGTTCCAGGCCAACCTGGGTAAGGTGGCTTAGCCAAGTCCAAGAACCATATGGAGCTGACTCCCACAAATTGTTCCTTGACCTCATGACACCCATATACATACTAAGTGAGTAAATGCAGTAAAAGAATTTTTTAAGTTTAAGCTGTGAATTTATGGTGGCATTCAAGAAAAGCGAAGTGAAAAATAAAGGGACTTTTTAGCTGGACATGGCAGCACACATCTTATAATCCCAGTACTTGAAAGGTAGAGACCAAATCAGGGGTTCAAAGCCAGCCTGGGCTATATGAGATCCTGTCCGTCTGTGCCCCCCCCCCAAAAAAAAAGTTAGATAATTAAATATATATAGCTGATCCAACATAGTATTTTGTGGCAAAGGGATATTAGGTGTTAATATAAATTAGGCTTAGTATAAAAGTTGTAAATCTATATAAGAATTTATAAATCCTTCCCACACATTGTAGTATATATCTATAATTCTAACACAGAAAGCTGAGGACAGCTTGGGCTTCATATTAAGTCCTTGCCCAGAAAAGGCATTAATTTTGCTGTGAAATTAATAATTGTGGCTAACTTCTTAGCAAACCTCAAAACATGGTTGTGAATTGGAGGTAAGTAGAGCATTCTAAGCGTGTTCATCACCTGTGGTTTCCCTCACTCTCAGGATTTATCCAGCACATGTGCCCTGATGGCCTTTATTTCCTTTGTCATTTTAGCAGTGTCACCCTTTACACCGGAAAGCTGGCGGGTGCTATGGGAAAAAAACAGAACAAGAAGAAAGTGGAGGAGGTACTAGAAGAAGAGGAAGAAGAATATGTAGTGGAAAAAGTTCTCGATCGACGAGTTGTCAAGGGCAAAGTGGAATATCTTCTAAAGTGGAAGGGTTTCTCAGAGTAAGTTTCATTGACACAAGTCAATTCAGTTGCTATGAGGAGTCATGATAATGGTTCTTACCTCATCTGTGGTGGGTATACCTTGGTTCAGTCCTGAACTCCACAGCTGATAGTCTACTGAGGAAGGATCTACATGCAGAGTACTATAATATATGACAGGCTTTTGTTTTGCTATATTTATGTATGTGCGCATGTGTGCCATGTAAGTCCTGGGATGAGAGTTAAACCATCTTGCCAGTCCATGACAGTGATTCTGAGGAGCAGATAGCCCACTTTTTCAAAAAAGTAGTCTTTCCTTGAAAAAGGCAAATTTCTAAGCCTTTTGGTCTGTACCCTCCCCTACTAGGAAAGTTCTCAATTTTGAAGAGAAATCAGCTGTTCATTATCATTTAACTCTCTTTCAAGACTGGCTCTTCGCTTAGTTAAAAATGTTGACGTAAGTGGAAGCATGACTTGTTATCTTGCTGATTTCAGTGAGGACAACACATGGGAGCCAGAAGAGAACCTGGATTGCCCTGACCTTATTGCTGAGTTTCTACAGTCACAGAAAACAGCTCATGAGACAGACAAATCAGAGGGAGGCAAGCGCAAAGCTGATTCTGATTCTGAAGATAAGGGGGAAGAAAGCAAACCAAAGAAGAAGAAAGAAGAGGTGAGACTTGGAATAGGAATCTTCTCCAGCCAGAGGCCAGATCATTCCAGCAGTTTGATCTTACCTCATCTCTCTCCTGTCCACCCCCCTTTTTTTTTCTTGTAAATTTTTTATTTATTTATTTTGGATAAATAAATATCTTTTTTTCTTCTTGCATAGAAGCCTAGGCTGACCTATAATTCAATATGTAGCCTAGGCTGGACTCAAACTTGTGGCAATTTTTCTTAGCCTTCTAAGTGTTGGGATTACAGTTATGAGCTACCATGCTTGAACTTCTCCCTTTGAATCTCAGCAGTCATACATGTCCTCTCTGTCCTTCAGAAATAAGCTAATGTTTTAAAGGATTTAGGGGGCCAACCATAGACACACCTGTAATCCTAGCACAGGAAGATCAAGGACAAGGGCCTGGACTACAGGAGATTGGGTCTCAGTGAACACACAAAAGAACAACAACAAAAAGGATTTGGGACTTACTCTTGTAAAGTGATCTAATCTAATCTTTTTATCCATGGCACAAGAATGATGAGGCAGGGGGCTGGAGAGGTAACTCAGCACTGACTGCTCTTCAGAAATCCTGAGTTCCACTCCCAGCAACCACATGGTGGCTTACAACCATCTATAGTGGGATCTGATGCCCTCTTCTGGCATAAAGGCGTACATGCAGATAGAGCACTCATTCATAAAATAAGTAAAATCATCTTTTTAAAAAAGAATGGTAACATCTAGCAGTTACTGGAGATTCATGACAGTAACTGAATTCATTTCCTGTCAATAGATCACTTTCAATGTTTTGATCACTAAAGATATAAGATAGATGTTTTGTCTTTAGTATCTTAAGTAATTTACCTTTGAAGAAACACAGAAATAATTATTCTGGATATAACCGTATGCTAATAAAATTGTTCTGCCCATCTGGTTTTTACAGTCAGAAAAGCCACGAGGCTTTGCCCGGGGTTTGGAGCCTGAGCGGATTATTGGAGCTACTGACTCCAGTGGAGAACTCATGTTCCTGATGAAATGGTGAGTCTACCAGTGGCTCTGTATGGTTGTTTTTTCCTTCTCCCCATCTGTTCTATGCCAGAGGAAAGAGCTGGACCTTCGAAATTCCAGTCGCCCAGGTGTGAAATCTTTAAGATGACATAGTCCTTCGATAGTGAACCTCGGCCTGACTACAAACCTGGACTCATGAGTTACAGGTAGGGGCCCTTAGGATTTACAGATTTTTTTTTCCCTGTCTGTAGGTTGGAGAGACTATGGAGAGGAACCACATTTCAGTTCCGTGGAGTAAAACAGAAAATTCTGAAATGTGATTGAATCACCCTCCTTCTCTGCCACCTCCTTAGTAAAGACCAGGCTGACCCCATAAGCAGGATTCTGTTCTTGTTTGAGGGTTAGGAAAGAATTTATAGAATTTATTTTGAAGATTCTAAATTTTCAAAATCAGCCAGCAGGGGTCAGTAAAGCCTCTACTGTTTACTGTTACTGAGCTTAATGTAAGCCTGCTTCTCTGTTATAAATACTAGTGTGATAGTGCTGACTTGGTCTAAGGAGAAACAGTAGGTAGTTTGTTAGCACTAGCCAGTATCACCTGCTGAACATGCTTGTGTTTGCTGTTTTATGTGCTGCCAGCACAGTATTGGGTTTCTGTGGTTAGCATGAACCACAGTTTCACTAGCAATGGGAAATTTTTCATCTGCAGTCCATTTCTGACCAGAACATTGTCAAGCAGCACATAACAGTACTTTCAAACAGTAGTGAAGAGGAGTTCAAGTTAGTAAAAGTAATTGACTGTTTTCGTTTGTTTGATTTTTGCTTTTTGAGACAGTTTTACTCTAGCCTAGGCTTGCATTGAGCTTGAAATCCTCCTGCCCCTGACTGTGCTGAGATTACAGGGACATGCCACCTTGACGGACTAGGAGGAGTTAAGCCATTGCCAGTTAAAATAGGATTGTCAAGGCTTTGTCCTTTGATTGGTCTAGAACTTTCTCTGAACTGGTATCTATGGTGGCTCTTCCCTAGATAATGATTGACAAGGTTTTGTTAACTTCAGGTAAAGAAGACCTGGGTTATAATTAACTAACCACCTATTTTCTTCCTGTATGTTCCTTCAGTATTACCGATTCTGACCCTTATTTAGCTTATTTCTTCTAACTTATAGAAGAAAAACTGAATAATATGATGTGTTAAGTAGTCTGGCTAAAATACACTTGCCCCGCAAGTGACCAATGTGAGTCACAGGAGTATCTCCATATTTTTTAGGATGTGGTTCTACACATTTATAATCCCAGTAATCAGATAAAATGGAAGTATCAAAAGTTGGAGGCCAGTCTGACCTAGAGTAAGATGAAGTTGTAGCTTTGAAGCCTGTCCTAGAACTAGCTCTTATAGACTGGGCTGGCCTGGGACTCACAAGATCCTCCTGCCTCTGCCTCCCGAGTGCTGTGATTAAAGGCGTGTGCCAGCAAGATGAAGTTTTAAAAGCATAAACACACACCTAAGAGCCAGCTGTAATAACCCATATATTGTAATATATATTGTAATAACCCATATATTGGGATTAAAGGCGCGCGCCACCACTGCCAGGTGGGCATTGGTTATCTTAACTGCTGTATCTAAAGTTAAGATTTGGGTCTTGGGCTAGGGGTGTGGCTAACACATAAAATCAGTGGCTTTGATCCCCAACCCTACAAAAACAGAAAACAAATCCAAACTTTTTGATAGGGACTTGACTTACTGGTAGAGGGCTTGCCGAGTATGTGCAAGGCCCATGTTTTAATTCCTAGCATCTACTCCCTCACCTCTAAAATACTGAATGTTGATTAAAAAACCCTAAGTTTAAAAAGTTACACATGGCCAGGTGTGTTCATGCCTTTAATCCCAGCAGTCAGTGGTAGAGGTAAGTGGATCTCTTGAGTTTGAGGGCAGCCCAGTCTACATATCAAGTTGCAGAACTATATTCAGCAGTGGTTCTTAGTCTGTGGGTCACCTAAGACCATTGGAAAACATATTTGTATTAAAATTCATAACTGCAAGCCGGGCGATGGTGGCGCACGCCTTTAATCCCAGCACTCGGGAGGCAGAGGCAGGCGGATCTCTGTGAGTTCGAGACCAGCCTGGTCTACAGAGCTAGTTCCAGGACAGGCTCCAAAGCCACAGAGAAACCCTGTCTCGAAAAACCAAAAAAAAAAAAAAATTCATAACTGCAGTAAAATCATGTTACGAAGTAGCAACAAAAGTAACTTTATGCTTGAGGTCACCACAATAAGAGGAACTGTATTAAATGGTCACAGCGTTAGGAAGGTGGAGAACCACTGACAGAGGGACCCTATTTCAAACAAACAACAGCAAAAAGTGATGTATGTTTACACCCATGGCTCGGGATATAGTTGTAGAGGGCTTTCTTAGCATACATGTGACTCTGGCTTCCATCCCTAATACCACATTCATGCACTTTTATAATCTCTTCCGGATGACTCAATGCCCGCATGTAGCTCACTACCTTATCTAACTCCAGTTCCAGAGACTCCAGGGATGTAGGTGTACATGTGGTGTACATAACATAAATTCAGACAAAACACTCGTACACATAAAATTATTATTTTTATTATAACCTGATTTTGTAGGAAAGTGGAGGTACCTGTCTATTTCTGGACATAGAAAATATTTTTACCTAGTGAAAGGGCTTAAATTTATCCCAAAATTGTTCAGTTAAAAAAAGAGTTATAGGTTAGATACCCCATAAGGATTTAAGTACATTTTCCACCATCTTCTTGGGTATTTTTTGGCTTTTTGAGACAGGGTTTCTCTGTCCTGGAACTAGCTCTTGTAGACCAGGCTGGCCTCGAACCCACAGAGACCCACCTGTCTCTGCCTCCCAAGTGCTGGGGCACTACCACCTAGGCTTCTTGTATTTCTTGTGGAAGCTTAACCATATTGGCTTATTCTCTGGTTCCCTGTGACTCTGGAGTCTTGTTCTTGTTCCGGGATTCTGTCGGTATTTGTTGCCTGCCCCATGCTGCTGCCTCTGTCTGGGACAGACCCAGTGACCTGAGGATAAATGAATAGGAGTTTACTCCTAGTTACTATAATGTATGCCATTTTCAGATTTTTAAGCTATGAAAATTTGGAAAAATAATAATTACATCACAGTACCTTTGTTTTCTACCTTCTCATGTTGGAGCACTATTTTAAAATACATGGCGATAGTGTGCGGGTGGTATGTGGTGGTGTTAAACAGTATGTTATGAGTGAGCAGGATTTTGCCTGATCAGTATTAGTCCTCTTAAAAAGAGAAAGCTGTGTGCATGCGCTGGGATATAGTTTTGCTTCCCATCCACCCTCTGAATTAAGCTTTCTTTGACCTTTTCCAAAGAACTAGTTGAATCAGGTGACTCATCTTTTGACAAAGTCCCCTAGAGGGGATTTTTGTCAGGAGAAAGGGAAATCTTTGAGGGTATCGTGTGACAAAATCGACCCAGGAAATGCAGCTTGCGTCCTGTTTTCCTAGTTTGTTTCTGAAATTTAGACTTTTAAGGTCCTATTCCCTGGGTGATCCAAATTAGGAGACCACAGCAGCTGATCTCAAAGTTCCTTTGTGCTTTGTCTGCAGGAAAAACTCTGATGAGGCTGACCTGGTCCCTGCCAAGGAAGCCAATGTCAAGTGCCCACAGGTTGTCATATCCTTCTATGAGGAAAGGCTCACGTGGCATTCCTACCCCTCAGAGGATGATGACAAAAAAGACGACAAGAATTAGCCCTCTTGAGTGCCAGCCCCTGTCACCTTCGACTGTGGGTTCCAAGTGGGGAGGGAAGGAGTTCTACTTGTCTTGACACCATAGAGGTGGCTTGAGAAGATGTCCTTTGAAGAGCCAGCATAGTTTCTGTGCCCTGCAGCAGCCCAAGTGCTTTAACTCGTTTCAAGCTGTATAGTTTGCACACCCATCCCAGTGGAGGGGAAGGGGTAAGTGTTTCAAGGCAACCCGTTCTGCGCTTTGCTAAGAAAGCGGAGGGCCTTCCATGAAGGACAAAACCTGCAGAACTGGGGTGTGGGAGAGCAAAGATACTGTCTATCTTCAAAGAGCATCTCCACAACCCACAGCCTTCTTCCCAATAGTGTTAACTGCATTTTTACAGCCTAGCATGTGTGTAGTTTTTGGCTATTACTGGTATATTCATTAGGGGTGGGAGGGTTGGGGCAGGGAGGAAGGGAGATGGGTGGAATCATTTTGGTTAAAATTTGGGACCTGATTGGGGAAATGGTGAAACAGTAGAAAGAACAGCTAACTAATCAATTGGTTCTATGTCAATATTTTGCCTTTTCAAAAAATTATATTGGCACCATTAATGAGGATTGAGAGACTTAAAAAATCTGTGAATGCTGAAACCTACAGCCAAGGTGCTCCCTACCTGAGCTCATTGTGGCCCACAAAGGACAAAGCCAGTTCCCAAGTTACCAAAGCTGCCATTTGAAGATGGAAACTGACTGAGGAGGGACAGTTTTATTGGAGAGTATAAGCAGGCAGATCATTCTGCCTTAGAGGTGCTAATTCCTGAAATTGGAGAAAAAGACCTTTCTCCAATTAGGAAGTTACAATATCAGTTTGTCCATCCAAGCCACTGGCTCAAGTATTGCAGGAGGGCCTATGGGAGATGGGAGCAGAGGGCCTGCGCTCTTAGGGTGGAAACTCTTGGAGCCTCTGTTTTTTGGTGTGGTGTTTTTGTTTTTGGGTGTTTTTTTTTTGTTTTGTTTTGTTTTGGCTTTTGTTTTTGGGTTGTTTTTTTTTTTTTTCTTCAGATATGAACCCTGAAACTGCTTGTGGCAGGTTCAGTTACTGACAGCACAAATTCCATTGAGTCAATTAAGGGTTGAATGACTTCACAAGCCCTGGTCTCAGGAGATTAACTTTCATATTGGGGTAGTGGTTCATTTAAAAATACAAGATCTTCAGATTAACTGATGTCCAAGATCCTGTCTTGAATCATGAGATCCATCAATTTTTAGTATTGTCTAGACCTGCATTTAGGACTACATTGTAAAATCTTTTAAAGCATGTGTTAGATATATGTGAAAATTTTGTTTAAATGTAAACTTCATACCATACTGTCAGTTTTTGTCTTAATAAAACTATAGATTTATAATTCCTGATTTCTGTATTTTTTTTTTATTTTATTTTAAAAAAAGACGAGGTCTCCTTCCCCTGTGTTGCCCACTCTGGCTTGGAACTTTGAATCTACCTATGTCTACTTCCCAGTATTGGGATTACACAGGTGCATGTATCATGGCATTTGGTTATCAGAAACCCTCTTAGCATCAGTTCAGCTTGTTGGAAGTAGCTACCATGGCTTCAAGAATGACTGTAGATGGACACTGCAGGCTTGAAATCTGATGTCCTATTTTTTTTTTAACCTGGAGCTAGTTCTTGTAGACCAGGCTGGCCTCGAACCCAACAGAGATCTGCCCGCCTCTGCCTCCCTTCCCAAGTGCTGGGATTAAAGGTGTGCGCCACCACCACCTGGCTGGTCTCAAGTTTTTGATGTAGTAAATGCTTGAATAATTGCTGTACATATTTTAAGAACTGGCATATTCTGTCTTTCATATTGCTGGGAAAATATGTACTGGTAACACTTCCCACTTGAAAATAGGCGTTATGTGAACTAGCTTAATCAGTTGGAAGGATGGCATTAGCAGAAATCAACTCCAAAAAGTTTTAGAAACTGACGCTTTTTGTTATTGTTTTGTTTTTCCAGATAAGGTTTGTGTAACCACCCTGGCTATCCTGAAACTAGTTCCGTAGACCAGGCTGTCCTCAAATTTACAGAGATTCACCTGCCTCTGCCTCCCAACTGCTTGTGATTAAAGGCATGTGCCACCACCCCCAGCCAATCATCTGTCTTCTTAAAGACATTTTTTTTTTCTGCCTATAATTCTGGAGCCCAACTAGGAATAAATCTTTCTTGCTGTCTGTGTACCACTTGTGTGTCCAGTGTCTGAAGACCAGAAGAGAGCATGTAATACAAACTGTTGTGACCCATCTAGTATGAGTGCTGGGAATCAAACCAAGATCCTCTGGAAGCACAGCCAGTGTTCTTATCCACTGAATCATCTCTCCAGCCCTGTATATACATAGATGTTAAAGTCAGAGGGCAACTTTATACATACTGGTATGAATGTGTCAGATTCCCCTGGAACCAGAGTCACAGACAGTTGTAAACTCTCATATGGTTGCTGGGAATTGAACCCTGGTCCTCTGGAAGACCGGTCAGTGCTCTTAACCCCAGCCTCCTTGTTTATGTATTTTAAGACAGGGTTTTTACTCTAACCCAGGCTAGCCTGAAATTTATTGTTTAGCTCAGAATTACCTTAAACCCAGTGACCCTCTTTTCTTAGTTCCTCCAAATACTAGGGTTATAGGCATGTGTCACAAGAGCAGCTCTATTCTTGTCTGGGTTTGTTTGTTGTTTTTTTCAGGACACAGTTTCTGTGTAGTTTTGGAGCCTGTCCTGGAACTAGCTCTTGTAGACCACGCTGGTCTCAAACTCAGAGATCTGCCTGCTTCTGCCTTCCAAGTGCTGGGATTAAAGGTGTGCGCCACCACTGCCCAGCTTGGATTTTGTCGTTTTGTGTATAGCCATGGCTGGCCTGGAACTCCCTATGGATATTGGGCTGGTTTAACCAGTGAGCCTGTCTGTGTGTGTGTGTACATGAGTGCAGGTGCCTAGATTCCCATGGAGCTAAACTTACAGGTAGTTTTGAGCTGCTTGGGTGCTGAGAGGTCACTGAATCTCCAGGAACTGGAGTTACAGATCGTTGTGAGTTGCCATGTGGGTACAGAGAACTGAATCTGAGTCTTCTAGCTGTGTGTGCTCTAAACTGCTGAACCATCTTTCAAGTCCCCTACACTCTCTGCTTGTCATTTAGTTAGGGTTTGCTTGTTGCTGAAGAGCCTGGGTCTTCTATGTAGTCCAGCCCAGGCTGGCCTTGAACACTTGATCTTCTTCCCTCAGATCTCCATCCACCACCCCTTTTTTGGTTTTTCAAGACAGACTTTCTCTGGGTTGCATTGGCTGTCCTGGAACTTGCTCTAGACCAGCCTCCAGAGTGCTGGGATTAAAGGCATGCGCCACCACCACCTTTTTCCCCCTTTTCTTTTTCCTGGATTTTCGAGACAGGGTTTCTCTGTAGCTTTTTTGGTTCCTGTCCTGGAACTAGCTCTTCTAGACTAGGCTGGCCTCGAACTCACAGAGATCTGCCCCTTTTCTTCTTTTTAAGAGAATGATTTATTACGATAGTGTTCTGCTGGCAGGGGTGGAAAAACACACTTTTAATCCCAGCACTCAGGAGTTAGAGGCAGCAGACTCTTGAGTTTGAGGGCAGCCAGGGCTACACAGAGAAACCTTACTGTAAAAATAATAATCTGCCATTCTCCTTCAGGGGAGATGCGCATGTGTGTTCCCTGACAATTTTCTTTTTCCTGTCTTGAAACAAGGTCTCATCTGTGTAGCCGAGGCTGGCCTTAAACTCAAACTCAGATATGCTGAGATTACTTACAACTTTCTGAAGACCAATTAGCACATTTCCAGATAGAAAGTTTAAGAGTAATTTTGTCTGAAGTGATTGTTGTAGATACATATGCAAAATTGTTCATTATAAATCAGTACAACAAAGTTGGGAAGATGGCTCAGCAGTTAGGAGTGCTTTGCTATTCTTACAAAAGACTAGAATTTAGTTCCCATCACATAATACACATATAGCCCCAGGGAATCACTGTCCTCTTCTGGTCTCCACAGGCAGCCCAATACATGTGCACACACATAGACACATATGTAAATGATAGATGGCTTCCATGAAATCTCACCATCGTGGACCTAGCACTTACTAATGTTACAGCAGGGGTGTTTGCTGGGATTTGTTTTTGCAGTACGGGCAATTGAACATAAGGTCTTGTGCATTCTAGCCAAGGATTCTCCCAACTTCGAAATGAGCTCCACCGCCAGCCTTTTTTCTTTCTAGATAGGGTCTAAGTCCTCCAGGTTAGCACTGAACTCTCATCATGCCTTAGCCTGTCAGATTCTGGGTTTACAAGTATGGACCCACATACCGGGCTATTACCAGTTTCTTGTGACCTATAACTGTCAGAGCTTGTTAGAATCTTGCTCTTCAAGGCAGTGTCTCTTGCTCAACTTACTGATAGAGCTTGTCAAGGCAGCCACCTTTCCCACTTGGCTTTTGTGGACTTTGGAGATCCAAAACCCAGCCTCAAGCCAGTGGGGTAAGTGCTTTCTCAACTGAGCCATCTCTGCAGCCTTGAAATCTTTCTGCCACTGCCTCCCAACTACTCAGATTGTAGAGGCACATGGTTTTTGCATTGAAAAATCTATTTATTTTAGCATCTGATTTTAATTAAAAAAAAATATTTTCTCTGTATGTATGCCTTTATGCCAGAAGAGGGCATCAGACCCCCCACTATAGATGGTTGTGAGCCACCCTGTGATTACTGAGAATTGAACACTGCACCTCTGGAAGAGCAATCAATGCTGTTAACTGATGAGCCATCTCCCCACCCTTCCCCATTTTTTAAGACAGGAGAGTTTACTAGGTAGCTGAAAATGTCCTTAAACTCCTGATCCTCCTTTCTCCACCTCCCAAGTACTGGGTTTACAGGCCTTATATCAACAGTTTTTTCATGGGATGTTAAGGCATCAATCAGGTCCTCCTTGTGGGGCAAGCACTTTTTTACTAAAAGGTGTTTCCCCAATCCCTTGACTTATGTATTGGGGGAGGGCATACATTTACCATGATGTTATGTGGAGGTTATTTAAAGACTTTGTTTTGAGGTGGGGTTTTATATAGTAGGGGATGATGACCCACTAATCTTCCTGCCATCCCTCAAGTACTGGGACTAGAGGACTGCCTCATACCTGTTTCATGCAGTGCTGGGATGAAAGCCTGGGCTCATGTCAGACTCCATCAAATGAGCTCCAGCTTCCTCTGCTCATTTTGATGTTAACCTTTGACAATCTGGTGTTTGCCTGTGTGCCTAGCACATCTTAATAGTCCCCTGTGACACTGAATCTGCACTCTAAAATAGCATTCACGATGAATCAGAAAGAGGACATTGCTGCTACAAAATAATTTACAGCCAGAATTTTGAGATACACTCCCTGTATGTGTGCCCTAGA